CAGAACCTGACAGTGCTCAGAGCGGAGGTAAACTATCAAAAATGTGAACATCATCAGTCAAAAATCATTCTAAACCTTATGGGAAGGGGTGACAGAATAATCAGATATCCGTTTAGTAACAAACATGTATATACTAATATTCCTACACAGTTTTCTAAGAAAAAGGCAGCTTTCATTTATCAAACATATTTATTTGAACAAATGACTAGAGAAAACCGAGTCACATTTTCTACTATTCAAGGAGCAGAAACAACAGGGGGATTCAAAGCATCTCTTTGATACTCAGAAGGAAATAACCAGTAATAGGTGATTTTCTTTTGTTTGTTTTATTCTTCTTCCCTAACACATATCTTATTGCCATTTATTGTTTTTACAATGAAATAAATTGAGCTTTTAGTCAAAGCAGAACTTGATAGATGAAAGTGAGTAGCTTTGAGAATTAAGCCATATAAAACTTTATGACATTAGCATGGCCTTAAAAAAATTACAGAAAGTGAACTTAGTCAAATGCAAAAAGATAATCACTGACAAAAAGTACGTAAACTAGTTAAACTGATAAACTCAGGTTGGAGAACAACAGTCCTCAGAAACTAAAATAGGTAGGTAACAAGAACTTCCTAATGAATGGATAGAGTTTCAGTTAAACAAGAGAATAAGCTCTAGAGAGTTGTTGCACAATATTGTTCTTGTTGGTAATAATAATGTGCAGGATACTTAAAATGTGTTAAAAGGGTACTTTTTTAATTTTAATTTTTTTATTGTGAAAATATTGTACAGAGGAGTTACAATTACATGGGCAAGATAACGAGTACATTAGCAAGCATTGTTGCCTCCTCTTTGTTTCTCCTTCCCATCCCTTCCCATACTCCCTCCACTTTCCCCCCACCCGTTCCTCCCCCCCTCCCCCAAAGTTGTAAAGTTCGTTTTTCGACATAACGACTTGAACTTATCATTGTTGCAATGGGTTAAAAGGGTACTTTTTAAAATAAAGATTGTGTGGAAATGTTTAATGCATCAGTTACAGGATTCATACAGAAGGTATGATACATTTTATGGACAAAATCAAGGATTTTGTTATAAAAATTACTGAATAAATAATATTTACAGATCAAGACATTTAAAGGGTCAATAAATACATGGAATGAGGCTCAGCATTATAAATCATGAGGGAAAGGCAAATTAACATCCCCAGATTCCAGTTACAAACGTACACATACTATATGATTTCTTTGGTATGAACTTCTAAGTAAACAAAGTAAACAAATGTATGGACGTAGCTGGGCACTGCTGCTCATGCCTGTAATCCTAGCTACTTGGGAAGCCGAGATCTCAAGATCAGGGTTTGAAGCCAGCCTGGACAGGAAAATCCATGAGACTCTTATCATCAATTAATCACCAAAAAATTGGACGTGAAACTGTGGCTCCAAGTAGTAGAGCACTACCCTTGAGCAAAACACCTCGGTGCCCATGCCCTAAATGTAAGCCCACAACTGACCAAAAAGTAAAAAAGTAAAATAAAAGTGATGTAAACCAGAAGCTGATGCCCAGGGATAAGATCTTAGCTGGCAATGATTATGTTTTTATTAAATTATTATAACTTTTAAAAAGGAACATAAGATAAAACCTAAAGAAGTTTCCATTGACCAAAAAAAAGATGGGACAATTTGTCCATTAAAAGAGTGACACTTGCAATAGACTGAAACTCATATATATGCTAAGAGTTTGTGTCTTAAAAAAAAGCCATTTGCCTTTTAAGGTGAGTGATTTATTATTTTGAAAGTGGACAGTGAGAGAGGTTAAACAGACCTCTCCTTTCTAAGCTGTGTTTTCAGGGTCTCATCTTAGACTTTCTGAGCTTCAGAGCATGTCAGCACTGTATTTGCAGTGTGTCAAGTCCTAGCCTGCCTTTCAAATCCATGAATACGCCTCAAGGCATCTTTATGGCCTCTATCCCAGGTGACTGTCCTACTCCCAATCCCTACACACTTCCTCCCCCACTTCAGCCTCCTCCCTTACACCGTTATTACGCTTTTCCCTGGCGTATAAACTTGGTGCCTTTTTCGGATGCTGCCTCTGACGGCCCCGCAGCTCTGGGTCTCCCCATGAGCACTTGTTGGCCACTCCTTCCACAATGCCCAAATTCCTTTCCTTTGGATCTATGAAGGAGTAGAGGCAGATGGTAGCCAAGGCCCAAACTTGGGAGCCCCATGGGTCCTCTGCAGGCTCCCTCCTGGCTTCTGGCTGCATGATGAACACATCTAGAGGTATAGAGATGTGGCATGACAAGGGGCCTGGTCCTGTCCCAGGCTGAGCATTAGAAAGGTCCCACCGCTGACTTGCCCTCAGCTCAGCTCCACCCCTCCACAGACCTGTGCCCTGTGTCTGCATCAGTCTCTCTTCACTCCTGGCCAAATACATGAGTATTTCATGCTGCCTTCAACTGGAGAAGGTTCTTTAGACATTCATGTTTAGTTGTGTAATTACAGGGCTTTCCTTGTTAGATATGGCTGTTAAAAAAATGAATGAGAACAAAGGAAATACTGGTCCACAAACTATGCACTGGCTTTTTAAAACTCATGAATATTCTTTTCCTTTTCCATTGTGAAGCGCTTCTCTTAAAAATACAATTAAAGGGAATTATGTGTAGTCACCTGTATCCAATTAGTTTTACTGGTTGGGGCTTGGGTTTAATGAGATTTATTCTCAGTTTTAAACTCCCCTAGGAGGCAGTTAGTTCCACTCATGCCCCGTTAGAGACTCTACCTTCACCCCCGCCACCATGTCCCAAGGCACCAGAGGGTGAATCATTAATACAACCAGAAAATCAAGGAAAAGTACATCGTTCCATTGAACTTCATCAAAAATTTTGACAAAAATTGTGAAATGGATCAATGTTTTATAAAAGTTTTTACATGATTACTTACAAGTGTGTTTGAAAACATTAAAAAGCCCCTCCCCCCCCTTTATTTTAGTGCTGGTCTTGAATCTTGAACTTACAGCCTGGGAAGTATCCCTGAGATTTACTGCACAAGGCTAGTGCTATATAGACAACTTGAGCCGAAGCTCTATTTCTGGCTTTTTGGTGGTTAATTGGAGATAAGTGTCTCTTGAACTTTTCTGTCCCAGGTTGGTTTTGAACCACGATCCTCAGATCTCAGCCTCTTGAATAGCTAGGCTTATAGATATGATCTACTGGCACCTGGCTAAAAAGGCTTATTTTGAAAATAACAATCATAGTAGCAAAATCCTAAAGACATTCACTCCCTAACATCTGCTAATCTTCCTTGTTTCACATGTGAATAAAAGTATTCCATGCTATCTTTCTTATTAGTGCCTAGCCCAACCTTACAATTATAATTAATAATATAAAACAGATGCTGGTGGCTTGTGCCTGTAATCTAAGCTAAGTGGGACAGTGAGGATGGGAGGATTACGGTTTCAGACCAGCTTTCAGCCAAACCTATAAGACTCCATCTCAGTAGAAGAAGCTGGGCATGATGGTTCCTGCCTGCCATCCCACATACAGTGGGAACTGAAAAATAAGACTGTGATCCACGTGTAGCCCTTGGCAATATGTGATAGCCTATGTCAATAATAACCAGTGCAACAAAAGGGCTAAATGGCTGGTTCAGTGGTAGACCACCTGCCTACCAGCACAATGCTCTGAGTTCAAGTTCTAATATCGCCAAGGTATTTTAGGTGGATCAATTTAGGAAGCAGTGGGTTAAAATAACACTTCATGATTTGAAGACGCTTATATAAAATATGCATATATTTCACTTATAAGAAATAATGCTCACCACTAGACTCTGCCAGCAAGCAGGCTAGAGACCTGGAACGTGTAGTGTGCCTAACTCACAACATGGCCTCCTGGGCGTCATGTCCGCATCTTAACTACACGCTCAAGACATTTTTTTACAACATATACTTGGATATTTTTTCACATTGTCCGAGTCATGTCTTAGAGAATATTGTCAGGTGAACTTGCAAAGTTACAAAATAAAAGAGCAAAACATAGGTTGTGAATTTAAATAGTCTCCTAGGCTGTCACTATTACAGCACTTTTGATATCACACTCAGTCCCCAGGCATTAGCACATCTGATCTCCAGGGAAACATGCTCTGCTCCTAGGAAGCAAGTCATTGCTTTCAAAGAGCAGCCCGGGTATTAAAAACCTCAAGTTAAACCTTTTGAGGCCACAAAGAAAATGCACGAGTTCAAAATACCTACACCTACGGGTAAGGTACATCATAATGTTTTGACTTTGATTTCTATAGCAAGTAAGTGATTTCTTAAAACATAAAATATTTCCATATATTTAATAACCCATGTGACAAGATGGAAGGATGTTTTATAATTAGTCTACTTAACAGTGCCCTATAAATGTTGGTGCTTTCAAAGGGATCAGACTACAAATATGATCACACTGAATAAGATTTAAAATCTGCTTTCCTCAAACCCATTCTCTATCTGTAAATAGTCTCTCATGAGAGGATTCACATAGCCAGGCCATAAATAGAGAGAATCATTAAGAGATAAACTATCTCTGAAGTAATTAAGTTAGGGTAAATTACACAGAGCTTTACTCAACACTAATATAAAATCCCACATCTTCAACAGAACATATATTTCTTTTATACGAGACCAGATTTTACTCATTTAAAGTGTCTGAATAACAACTCAAATTACCATTTGAAGTTTTATTGCATCCAATGCTCAAAGTCCTTGCAAATATCAATATTTGATAATGCTATTTAATGAAGCTTCGAAGTAGGAGAATAAGGGTTTTCAGAGTAAGAATAGATGTAACTAATTCTACTAAGAGATTCCAATTAAAGGAAGAATTAATAAAACATGGTTCAACATTTATTCCCTCTCACTTTTTTTTTTGTTTAAGAGTTGAAAAGAAAATTTACAGTATTCATTTAGTAAGAAGACAATAAGACAAAAGAAGTGCTTTGATTAATGGTGCCATGGCTTGTGGCTAAATGAAAACGTACCTCTCTCTCTCGCCTTCAGTGAGATCAAACAATCGGTTGGCACCTCCATCAGCACAGGCTCTTAGAAGAGCTTTGAAGAGAAAGAACACAATCATGTCAATAAGGAAGTCCAGAAGCGTGTTTTGCAAATGATAAATACAAGAAGGCAGTCTCTCAGAAATGAGAACAGTCAAGTCCACCTTATTGGGTTATGACATACACGGATAGTGATATTCTTGCTCACGAGCTGATTCTTTAGAACAGGAGACAAGGAAATCAGTAATTACACTACTCTTATTCCCTTTGGGCACTGGTTCAGTTCCTCTGCATCAGCTCAGGAAGACATGGTGGAGAAACAAGCATGTCTATATATTTCCTGGAAAGTGCATTTCCTCCTTCATAACAGGAAGTAGGCCTTAGGCCCATGAGGAGGAGGATTCCGTTGTTTAAATTGTGATTCATGATTTTTTACATCATTTGTGATAATGATTTAAACTGTGATTTGTGTACAAGTGGAAAATCATTTAAACATGTTATCCATGTGAAAATGTGTGGAGATGTTCAGAAAGATCTGAATTGCGGAAATGCCGAGAAAGCAACACCTGCTGCCTTTCCGCCTCAGGTTTTTATAATCTCTCGACCGATTGATTTTGCCCTGGGATTTGACACTTCTAATCACGCATTCAGGAAGTATCCTCAGTCCATGCAATGCTATCTTTGTTCTTGGTGCCACTTCTGTCACAGAAATGAAAATGCTCTTCTTTATAGAAATGTTCGTAGCATTAGCTCTGACCTCACACTATGAAGTGTAAAACAAACAAATCATACAACTACATGACAGAGTTAAACATTTTCTACATCACAAAAAGGACTAGAAGATCCTGTGATTAAAGTCCATTTTAAGAACTGACTGGTACATTCAGGAATTAACTCTTTGAAACAAAGATTAATGATATAAGTAATTAAAATGGGAAGAGGAAAGCAAAGGGGGTACTTTTCCTTGTGTATTTGTGTCTTCCTTGGATATCTGAACCAAAATATGTCAGATGAATCTGTTATCCAAAAAAGCAGCCAATGACATATGACTTGTTTCAGGAAGTATAAAGTTACAGGTAGCATGCAATTGTTGCCAAAACAAAAATCTGCAACTTCCAGAGAAGGAATTTTCTCCAAATGTAACCAACTCACCAAGGTGGCAAAATTTAGGAAAGCATTTGAAGAAGAAAGACAACTTTTTTCCAGAGCTAGCCACCTCCTGAAACTTACATTGATTCCCCTCCGCCCTTCACAGAACAGTTAGGGAAACTTTCTTGGGGGTAATTACTATTGTTTGGCTGCAAAGGTATTTATTTAACTTTAAATAATGGGTTAATTAACTAATTTTAACATCATCAGTATATTAATATATTGGCTCCTGATTTCCACTGGTTCACTGACAGTTCCAGAGGGCTGCTGAGAGTCTAACCGTTCTGTATCTAATCTGTCTAATATGTTTAACATCATTGGTTTCTGAACTTCGATGTGTTTCCTAAATGTGCAGAACTTTGTCTTTCTTCAATTCTAGATAATTCTTAGCTATTTTAGCTCAATTGTTTCCTATCTCAAGGTCTCTCTACCCATCACTCTTCAGCAATCAGACAATGAGACAATCTCATTCTGTCCTTCAAATTTCTCATTATTTCATTTCTATTATCTCCTATTTCTTTCTTTTTTTCTTTGCTCCTTTCTCTCATTCTTTCTTCAATGCTACCTACCTTTCAATGTATAAAGTCTCTCTTCAATTACATCTAGTCATTTGACAGTCTTACTGATTCTTTGTAAAAAAAAAAAAGTGTAATTTGGTTCTTTTTTCAGTCTCAGGGACTGCAGCAGATACTTGCAGCTAATATATTCAGTCTTTCATTAAAAAAAAATTCCCTAATGCTTTCAAATCAGACTCTTTCTCTTCCTGGGGGATGTTATGTGAATTTCCACCTCTCACAGACCAAAGCCTTACTACTGACAAGGAAAAGTAGTGAATTCAAAAGAAACAACTTACTCTTTTATGCTACTTCTTCATTTTATGATACTATAAAAGCATGACATATTTGGCAAATTTAAGAATGTTTATAGTGCAGTTAGCAGCGTTACGCTTAAGAAGTGTTATATTCATATAAAATTTAGTTCCAAATTTTAAAGTTTTAAAGGCAGGAAAATTTTTTAAAGAATAGTTAAGGGATAATATAGATAGAAACAAAAGCCTGATTAAATAATTATACTGATTAAATAATTATACATTGTGTTTATCAAATACCAAAATAAGGAACAATAAACATTAGTCTTCTTTTGCTGAAGTAAAACTAAAATCAAAACTCCTGTATTTTCAGTAAAGACAAGCTTAATTTTCATAAAAAATAAAAGACAAAAAAGTAAGAAATTTTGTAAGAGGGATGATTGACTTTGCCAATCATCACTGGAAGAAGTAGTACTCAAGTTCAGAATTCTATAAACATAGAGAATACACATTTCCTATGTATCAAAACTATAAAAAATAGGAAGTTATCACATGTATAAAATTAGCATAAAACAACAATCAAATTGAAAAGACTAATTAATAGAGACAGATGGTAAACTCTCAGTAAATCCTCAGAGCATGGAAACAATTCTCTATAGACAAACTTAACAAAAATACGGGATGCTCTCTTATAAAAATTGATTCACTGAAGTAATATAAAAACACAAGAAATAGTAGATTTTAGTGGCTAACCACTAATAAGTAGAATTTGCCAATATTTTTCATTTTATTGCTTAGCAAAGATCAGTGGGATTTACATTTAAATGTATAAACTACTAGGGTGTAACTCAGGGGCAGAAGGCTTGCCTAGCACAAATATGTAACGGAAGTGATCTCTAGGCAGATGACATAAATAAATATATGTATATATTTGTATACATATATTTATATATATATTATTTATGCATATATACACATATATACATACATTCACACACATACATATGTACACATATAAATACACATACACAATCACCCATTTATATCTACTACTTGCCAGTCTCTAATATAGAAAGATGAAAGAGCAAGGAGATTTAGCATTCTAGGCCCACATTTATGGTAGCAGAAGTGGATGCAACCTGTGGACTATGATGAGTGCCATAATAAAAGTACCAGACACCTAGGCGCAGAGTTCAAGCCCCGTGACCGACAAAAAAAAAAGTACCAGACAAAATGGGCAGATAAGGAAGAGAGGTGAATTTCAATGGAAATCTATGAAAAACTGCTTACTCATACATCTAGTTCAGGTAAAGCTCCTGTTACCATCAAAATCTTTCACAATGCTTGTTATATCTAATAGCTACATTTAAATTGATATCTTAGAGCAATTATGAAAAGAGAAACATACAAAGTAGAGCAACTACACGTGTCCACATTGATGCCCATGTTATAAACTGCAAAGATGATGACATCTACAGGCCATTCTCTCAGGTGCCCTACTCCTTTTTACATTTTACTAACAAGATTTAACCACTTTCATTTGTTTTCAAGTATGTATTGAAACCTGGATTTGAAAGAAAATTTGCAAATAGCAAATAATATGGGTATATATATATATATGTATGTAGAGAGAGAGAGAGAAAGAGAGAGAAAGAGAGAGAGAAATATCTTCATTCTGTAGATGAGAAGATAATGGTGAGGGACAGTTTGGCAGATTTACACTAATTTCAAATTTTTATGCTTTCCAATTCAAAAGTTCTAGGCGGACTAAATAAATGACTGTCCAAATTTATAAGGGAATATAAGATAGTCTTTGTGCCATCATGTGTAACTATGAAAGAAACTCAAAAGCTCAGATGATCACTGGCCCTAATATGTGAGCAGCAAAAGAAGTAGTTCTTTTTATTATATTAGTATGTATCTTAGTACTGATAGCTATATGTTTTATCTATGTATTTAAAGATACATATTATTACATATATATTACACACTATTGCTTTAAAGTTTAATCCTTGGCCAAGTCTTCCTCAAATAAAAAAAATACATATATATATATACATATACCAAATATAAGAAAATTGAGAATAGGGCAAAAGTTAATCAGGAGTCAGAATTGCTAAAGATGTCTCTTCAATGTAAAATAGGCAGTAGTCTCATATACCTAAGGAAACATATGACAACTACCAAGAGATAAAAGCTATGGAAAACCCAGAATCCATAGTCTCAGCATCATTGTGCATCCCAAATAGGGAGTAACTGGAACAATTAAAATCCACGATTCAGGAAGTGGCACTGTGGCTCAAGTGGTAGAGCGCTCACCTTGAGCTGAAGAGCTCAGGGACAGCGCCCAAGCCCAGACTTCAAGCCCCATAGCCAACAACAACAAAAAATACACTATTGGGAAATGACTAAATGTCACTACTATGATATCATTAAAGTTTTTTTGGTGTATATCTATATATTACACATATGTAGATACATACGTATGCTGAGCAATGGTGATATCTATCTAAGCTATGTAACACTTCACACAGTTATCATTACTGTAGTGAAGCACAGCTTAACTCTGACAGCCCTTCTCAATAATACAATATATATCATCATTCCTAGAGGCACTAGGCACTTGAACTTCTTTTTAAATTTTTATTATAATAAGAATACAAGATCTTATTGACCCTCTTAACTGTTCAAGTGTATAATGTAATTTGCTATAGGCGCACCACTGTACAGAGCAGATCACTAGAACGTACTCATCAGGTATTAATTATTATATCCATTAAACAGTAACTTACCACTTCCCCTATGTCTTTCTCTATTTCTATGAATCTGCATATTTGAGATTTGTCATATATCTAGACTCATGAAGTACTTGTTTTTCTTGGATTTTTTTCATGTAATCTCTAACCTATTTTGTATTGATGATATGTGTTTTGACCAACTTTCATAACTACAGCATTTTAACAACTTGGAACTATATGTTGCTTAAAATCTGCAAATTTACCTAGAGGTATTTTCTGGCTATATTAACATCCCCCAATATAAAGAAATGATGCATAATGAGAAATGTACGTGATGTGAGGATTCACTGAAGATTTTTT